CAGCTTGAGCCCAGAAGTTTGAAACCACCCTAAGCAATATTAAGACCACATTGCTACAAAAAATTTAAAAATTAGTCAAGTATGGTGGTACATGCCTATTGTCCTTGCTACTTGAGAGGCTGAGAATCGCTTGAGTCTGGGAGTTTGAGGCCATGGTAAGCCATAATCATGACACTGTACTCCAACCTAAGAAAGAGACCCTGACCAAAAATAAATAAATAAATAAATTCTGGCAAATGATTTCCCAATGTGTTAAGTATACTTAACACTACTGTACTGTATACTTTAAGATGCCTAAGATGGTAAGTTTTATATTATGTGTATCTTTCCCTAATTAAGAAACTTAAATAAACAAGGCTGGGTACAGTGGCTCACACCTATAATCCCAGCACTTTGGGGAGCTGAGGTAAAAGGATTGCCTGACCCCACAGGTTCAAGACCAGCCTGGGCAACTTGGCAGGACCTCATCTCTACAATAAATCAAAAAATTAGCCAGGCATGGTGGCGCATGCCTGTAGTTCCAACTACTTGGAAGGCTGAGGTGGAAGGATCACCTGAGCCCAGCAGGTTGAGGCTACGGCGGCCATGAGCATGCCACTGCACTCCAACCTGGGCGACAGTGTGAGACTCTGACCCCACTGACCCCAAAATTTAATAAACAAACTATAAAGTTATCAAGTTAGTTAGAATAGGAAAGAGCTATTCTGCCTATATTATTACATTGGTGATACTGGTCACACTGACCACAATATTTTCTCAGATATGAAATCTCTGGTTTTTTGAGATAGATGTAGAGGGATCTGATTCTGGGTTTCTGCTTGAAAGTGGGAGAAGTCTCTAAGTACTTTTAATATTTTTAAGGAAATGATTAACCAAGGTGAAGTTCAATCACATATCCAGCCCTTTCCTGGCAGCATCCAGGGGCAGTTCTGGTAACCAAGGTCCTAAGAAGCTGGGGCAGGTGAGTGGAGCTCTAGGAGGGAGGGCACAAAAAAAGTTCCTGAGCTTGGGAGTGGGCAGAATGATTGGAGGCAAAGACATGGGGGACCCCCGAGTGAGACCTAACCCAGCAGGAATATGCCACAGGAACTGTTGCCTGGAGACCTCAGATAGGACCAGGCCAATGGAGAGAGGGCACAGAGGGAGGTGAACCCATACAACGGTCTTCAGAACAAGATCTTGCCAGATCTGTACCTTAGTCACTATCCCAGAAACTCTACAGCAGCGTCACATGAATCTTCTACGCAAGGGTGAGGGGGATGGAGGAAGGGGAATGGGGGACACCCTGAGAAGGAGAAACCCTGCAGGTTGTGGATGGGGGTGTGGGTCCCAGTAAAGGAAGAGATGCCTTCTCTCACACACACCCTTTCCTAGACTTCAGGAAGGTTGACTTCAAGGGAGCCTGCCCCCCCCATCACAGCAGATATATTCAATATGTTAAAATGCACCCACACTGCAATTAAATATTTTTGTTGTGAAAAAAAATTTTGAAGTTTTTATGCTTTGGCTGCCAACATCTCTTGAAGAGTGGAGGTGGGGGATGATGTCCTCAGGAAAAAATCCTAAGATCCAGGCTCAACCCACAAGGCCCTATGAGACCCACCTCTCGCACTTCTTCCTCTAACCTCAGTGAGATGGTTAGAGAATGATGACAGGGGTTAGACAGAGCTCTATGGATAGGTAACAAAATATGAGGAATTATGAATAAATTTCCAAGGAAAATGGAACCTGATGGTAACTTGGCTAAGCTCTGCCAGGCTGAGGAGTGTTTGAGATTAGAGATGGTTTCGGGATGGTTCAAGTGCATTACATTTATTGTGCACTTTATTTCTATTATGATTACATTGTAATATACAATGAAATAATTATACAACTCACCATAATATAGAATCAGTGGGATCCCTGAGCTTGTTTTCTTGCAACCAGATGGCACCGTCTGGGGGTGATAGGAGACAGTGACACCCAAAGTGTGTTGTTGGTGTCCAGTCTATTCTGTAATCTTGTTTTGGTTGTAGTCATTGCAGAAAACCCTGCTTCAAAATATTTGGGATGCAGAAATGGAAGCAGGCTCTTTAGTACTAATCTGGCGGAGTTTAGGCAGAAATGTGAGTACTGGGGAAAAGCTGTAAATACAGATGAAGCCTTGCTTGCTCATGTTGGGGACCCCTGCCATAAGGGACAAACATATCATCCAACAGTTTGTTGGTTCATTCTGACAAGAGAGACTGCATACCAGATCCATGGGCATCTCATAAGAGAGATAGGTTATTAGAAGATTTAGCAAAAGGGTATTTAGGTGAAATCTAAATGAAACAGTATTTTAGTAGGCACACTGCAAGACAGTCTGAATATTGGCATCAAGAACAAGTTTGTATTGTGAAGTGAACCAGGGTCCTGTGTCCTTGGGAAGTAATGCCCCAAAATCCCTTATTTGAAGTTCTGCATCTGGATCATAAATCAAAGCATCTTCTTGAGATCAGGAAGTTTCCTCCCTATTGGTGATTTCTAAAAGCAAGCCGCTATCTGATTTTAATAAACATTCTCCTTAAGAAAGCAGAAACAGCTGGGCTCAGTGGCTCAGCCTGTAATCCCAGCACTTTGGGAGGCTGAGGCGAGGGAACTGCCTGAGGCTGCGGGTTCGAGACCAGCCCAGGCAACCTGGCGAGACCTCATCTCTATAATAAATTTAAAAATTCACCGGGTGAGCCGGGCTCGGTGGCTCAGCCTATAATCCCATATCTTTGGGAGGCTGAGGTGAGTGGATTGCCTGAGCCCGCGGGTTCGAGACCCGCCTGGGCAGCGAGACCTCATCTCTACAATAAATCAAAAAATCAGCCGGGCGTGGTAGTGTGTGCCTGTAATTCCGGCTACTCAGAAGGCTGAGGCGGAAGGATCACCAGAGCCCAGCAGGTCGAGGCTGCGGTGGCCGTGAGTGGCCACTGCACTCCAGTCTGGGCGACAGAGTAAGACGCCAACTCAAAAAAAAAAAAAATTTGCCGGGTGAGATAGCATGCATCTGTAGTTCTGGCTACCTGGAAGGCAGACGGATCACTGGAGCCCAGCAGGTTGACGCTGGGGTGGCCATGAGTGTGCCACTGCACTCCAGCCTGAGCAACGGAGTGAAACTCCAACTCAAAAAAAAAAGAAAGAAAACAAAGACATTCAAAGGGTGATTATGACACTTGACACTTTACATCCACATGGTAACCATGAAGGAAAACTGTTCCTACTAGCACCCTGACCTTTTCAGAATCTGTTATCTCAGTCTGATGAATGATAGGGCAGAGTTACTTTCTCATACAAAGTTGATTTTTACTTACCCAGACTTAAGTCATGCTAAGATCTAGAAGAAGAACAATCTGAGCAAAAGGAACAGAAAAGTTGAAGACTTTGAGGCAGGTTTAAATTTGGTTACTTAAGATACAGAAGGGAGCAGAGCCCAAGAAGACTACCTGAGCCCAGGGATTCAAGACCAACCTGGCAACATGGCGAGACCTCATCTCTACAATAAATAAAACAATTAGCTGTGCATGGTGGCACCTGCCTGTAGTTTCAGCTACTTGGAAGGCCGAGGTGGAAGGATTGCCTGAGCCCAGCAGGTCGAGGCTGTGGAAGCCACAAGCATGCCACTGCACTCCAGCCTTGAAGACAGAGTGAGACTCCAACTCAATAAAAAGGAAGAGAAGGGGGAACCACTTCACACAGGCCATCAAGGGGCAAAGTTGCAGACTTCTGTAGGGCCTGTTACATCAGCCTTCATATCGTATCCAAGATATAATGAAGCAACTAGATCAGGAGAATGTAATCCAATAATCATGAAGGGACACAAGCTATAGTGAGCAGAAATAGGCAGAGTGGGAGTAAGGGAAACTAACATTAGGAGGTTAACACAGCAGGCTGGGTAACAGAGGTCAGAACTAGTGAGCAGCAGTGAAGACAAGAAAATGCAAACGATTTGAGATAGACTTGAAGGCAGAGCTGACACAGCAGCTCAAATATTGAACATATGGTGCTTGAGAAAGCAATCAAGGATGACACAGGTGTGTGGCCTAATCAACTAGGTGGTCAGTAGTGCCCCCTGAAAAGCAGAAGACGAAGAGAGATTTGAGGCCTAAGCAGGTGTTTTGAACATGTCAAGTCTGAAATGCCCATGAAACACCCAAGTGTAGATGATGAGTAGGAAGTTGGGTTCCAGGCATCCATCTAGTCTAAGATGCAAGTCTGGGAGACACTAGCAAAAATCAAGCACCAGGAAGGATTAGGTCACCTGAAGATCTCAATTCCATGGAGCAGAGGGCCTGAGACTGAGCCTTAGAATGGCTAACATTTAGACAGGTAGTCCGCTGAAGGTCTCTGGCTGGGACCATTAGGGCAAGAAGCTCCCTGGTCCCAAGAACAAAGCCAAGCCTGGTGGGGGCCACACTGGTTCCCTGAGGATAACACCTACTAAGGAATGATGGCAACATGAACAAAGGATCACGCACTGGGGTAAGAGCCTGGACCCAGCAGTGTTAGACCCTTGCCTCATCTATACTTCCTCTAACACAAATGGTTAGCACACTCTACCACTCGTTACCCATTTTTATCAAAACTTGAGATTTATGGCACTGTGATGTAATGGCATAAAGCACTAAACTATTTGACAGAGCATCCTTTAAAAGTGAGAACCAGGCCAGGCGCAGTGACTCAAGCCTGTAATCCCAGCACTTTGGGAGGCCGAGGCAAGAGGACTGCCTGAGTCAAGGGGTTCAAGACCAGCCTGAGCAACCTGGTGAGACATTGTCTCTACAATAAGTCAAAAAATTAGCCAGATATGGTGGCACATGCCTGAGGTTCCAGCTACTAGGAAGGCTGAGATGGAAGGATCGCCTAAGCCCAGCAGGTCGAGGCTGTGGTGACCGTGAGTGTGCCACTGCCCTCCAGCCTAGGTGACAGAGTGATACTCCACCTCAAAAAAAAAAGTGAGACCAATGTACAATTACATAGCTTTCCCACTCATCCTTGTTACCAACAGCTACTTAATTTAATCCTAGTCTGAAAACAATATTCTTTCTACAACACACGAAACACTCACTTCAATTTATTGTAGATTCCTAAATAGATTTCTCTCTCTTCTGGCAGGAGAGACATTTCATCAGAAAATAAAAGAGGTCTTGTGTCTGTCTGACAGTCTCACACCTACCCAATAGTCCTAGAGCCTCAGACAAACCAGGGACAGAACAATCCCAAATGTGCCAATAGAGAATTCCTGGAAAGGTTCTGTACTCCAGACAAACCCCTGCACCACCCAGGAAAGATGGATGATTCCAGGATCAAGGAGAGGCTAAAAGAAATTGAACCTAAACTCTTCATCAGGCATATCCAGAGTGGCTTTGGATCTCGCTGCAGGGCGAGGCCTGCAGACCCTTCGGTTCTTCTTTCTGGTAGCTTCATTTACAGAATGCACCTGGGCTGAGAGGGCAGCTGTCGAAGGGAGGAGAGCAGACAGAGTGTCAAATATGAATAATAACACATCTGTACAGTTATGATTGCCCATACAACTCTAACCCCCCTGCATAAATTAAGTGATTTTAATTTATCAAAATTACGAGGTTGATATTATTATCACTTCCCAGTTAGAATCATAGGGAGACTCGGTAACTTGCAAAAGGTGTTAATGCTACTAAGAGGTAGATCCTAGCACTCAGATTGCTGTGGGATCTGGGTCACAGCCAGCAGAGGATCAAGCCCTGCCCCTACCTGCCAAGTCCAGGCCCTAGTTCTGTGTTCCTGAGAGGTCCAGCCTTGCCTACTGCCTTGGCTTCCCTGAGCCCATCTCCTTCCTCCAACAGTCTTGTTGCTCTGGACCTTCGTCCTTTCACTCCCTGCGTGCTTCCCCCTATTCCCTTAAACTAGGCCTTCTGGAACCAACCAGATCCCAGCTCCTCACCAGCTCTTAGAGCTTGCAGGGCCTCACGCCACTCTGCTTCCATCTGAGCCCTGTAGTCCCCAAACAAGGAATGCATCAGCTGCCTCTTCCGGGGCAGGGGAGTTCTTTTGCTGCGCAGGGTTCTTATGGCCCCAAGAGCCTGCTCTTCTGCAGATAAAAATAAAGGACCAGTGACCTCCTCTATACCACCTTCTATCATGCAACGGCAAAGACAACAACTCCATCCCCTCACAGCACCTGCTAGCCAGGCACTGCCACTGTTCACATCCCTCAACTCCACACTAGGGATCCTTACTCTGTTTCGGGGTCGGTTTCTGCATCTTGAGGCCCAGCTCCAGTTGCTCCACGCACCAGGCCAGTTCCTGAGCCAGCTGCCTCGCCTGTGATGAGTTGGGAGAAGTAGCTATGAGAGGGAAGCAGGACCTCACCCCTCTAGCCCCAACCTGCAAGGATCCCAGACCACCATGCCATTCCCCTTCCTGCCTGTACTCTGCAGATCCCAGACCTCATCTGCCAGGGATTCACACCCAGAATGCACCGGAGGATTCCACCCTCCCCGAATGAGGGCCATTCTTGCCTGGGCCTCAGCACTTAGGGGGACTTCCTCTGGGGTAGACTTCTCCAAGGCCTTGTCACCTCCATTTTCCACCGAGGCTCTGGTCCGAGTTTTCTTTTTATTCTTTTGCTTCTTCGAGGTTGCACTGCCTTCATCACCTATGGGTGACAGAGAAGACAGTCAGAAGCTGGTTAGGCAGAGAGTGAGGGTCCCAGGGAACTTAACACCTGTGGGAACGTCCCCTGCACCATCCCCATTATATAACTGTTGGCTTAAAAACGTGGTTAATGTGGTTAAGAACATCCAGTTAACCCAAGATGTACTGCTAAAAGGAACTTTTTGCTGCTCAAACACAGGCGCAGTAGCATAACTAAATGCCCTAACCTGACCTTGGCTTATTATATCATTAACACAGCATTAGCATTAAGGTCCTGTCCCCCCCGCCCCCTTTTCTGTAGTACTTATGAGTAATATTCAAGATGGAGTCACTTCGGTCAAGAATCCGCATGCGAAATAAGAACTGAGTCTCAGGAAGTAAGGGACAGATGAGATGTGAATGAGCAAAACGCCCTCAGAAAAGATAAGATAAAAACCACAAAAAAACTTCTAGCACCAGATAACCATTTCCGTTCCCTATCTTCTCTGGAGATAGTTTTGTTGCTTAATACACTTTCACTGATCCTTTTGGTGTACGCGTTCCTTAATCTTCTTGGTGGTGGGACAAGAACCAGAGGTTGCTGCTTTAGACTGACGGTGGAATTCAAAACTCCTGCAACATTAAGAGCGTTCTGGAGGCGGAGTAACTGCACGTGGGTTGCCCTGAGCAGAAACAGACAGTGGAAGCATTCCAGGCACCGGAATCGGGCTGGGGAGCCGGGTTCTGCGCAGCGCAAGGGCGATACCTGGGTCTGGGGCCGCTGGTGCCTCCCGAGCAGGATGTCCTGGGGCCTGGAGAAAGGGAGGCAACAAAGGGTCACGGTGGGACGCCGTAGGCCCAACGCCCCGCCACCCACGCGAATCTCCACACCGCCTACCGCCATGCACTGTAGTCGCCTCGGAAGCCTACGTGGGGCGGATCGTCCGTCTCCAAATTCCCGCCTCCGGAAACGCGTCTGTGAAAATATGTTCCGCAGTGAACGGGCCGGCACAAGTCGGGCCCCGCGGGACCTGCAGTGCGCGAAACTCGCGGCGGGCGCGTAGTGGGCGTGGCGGGAATCTGTGGAAGGTTTAGGACCCGGCAGGAGACTCGGCGGACGGGGCGGAACTGGGTGAGCGGCGAGAGGCCACCGGACGTCGGGGCGGGGCATATCGTGCCGGGCTAAGGTCGGGGCGGAGCTGGCGGTGGGCGGGGAGTGGAGGGGCGTTTCGCTCTAGGGCTGAGAATGGGATAGGTGAGCTGGGTGAGAGAGGCACGGTGAGTGTAGGGCTGCAGGGTGGTCACAGATAGTTGTTGTATTATTTCTTGGGGTGTAACAGATTACCCGAAAATGTAGCAGAGTGAAAACGACATGTAGTATCTCATAACAGCTTCTTAGGGTCAGGAATCTAGCCACAGTATGCTTGGGTGGCTCTAACTCAGCGTCTCTCATGAAGTCGCTTAAACCTTTTGAAGGGAAGAAGACTTTTTAGACGTTTTGAAACCACCAGTTAGATGTGAATTTTAGTCCCCGGAGACTGGAGGTTTTGGTGGTGAGGGGTTCCAGCTCAGGGCTTTTCTCTGCCTCCTCTGATTGTGGATCACCTCTGACTTGGTCCAGAACCGCTTCTTCCAGAAAGTCTTCTCAGCCCTGACATCTGCCTGAACCCTAGTCCACACGCCAGATTCCTTCCTCTTCCCAAGCCACCAGGTCTTATCCATTTATCCCCTAAATAATATCCACGGCCCCGCCCCACTCCCCCACACATGTCATCCCTGGGCTGAACAACTGCAATGAATTTGTCACTCATCTCTCTATGCAATTTCACTCCCCCCGTTCTTTCTGAACGACCTTGCTGCAAGAGTGATCTTTCTAAAACAAAAATGGACTCTTCTGCCTAAGTATCTTCTATTTCTTCCAATATAAAACCCAAGGTTCTAGGCCGGGCACAGTGGCTCAAGACTAATCATGGCACTTTGGAAGGCCAAGGTGAGAGGATTGACTGAGCTCATGGGTTCGAGACCAGCCTGGGCAACTTGGTAGACTTCGTCTCTACAATTAAAAAAATCAGGGCCGGGCTCGGTGGCTAAGCCTTCGCGAGACCTCATCTCTACAATAAATCAAAAATCAGCCGGGCGTGGTAGCGCGCACTTGTAGATCCAGCTACTTGGAAGGCTGAGGTGGAAGAATCGCCAGAGCCAGCACGTCGAGGCTGCGGTGGCCGGGCGTGGCCACTGCACTAGAGTCTGGGTGACTGAGTGAGACTCCAACTCAAAAAAAAATCAGCCGGGCGTGATAGCGTGTTCCTGTAGTTCCAACTAATTGGAAGGCTGAGGCAGAAGGATCTCCTGAGTCCAGTAGGTCAAGGATGCGGTAACCATGAGCATGCCGCTGCACTCCAGCCTGGGCAACAGAGTAAGACTCCAACTCAAAACAAACAAACAAAAAAACCCAAGGTTCTTAATTGTCCTGGATTATCTTTTGCCTAACTGTCCAGCCAGCACATGCCCTATAAATCATACAGATGCAACTATTTCCAGCCCCACTGTGCTCTGCCACTATTGATTCCTCTAGCACTCTGAGCCTCACTCACCTCTCCCTGAACCCCCTCTGCTCTCTACCCTCACTCACCTCTCCTTCAACCCCCACTGCCCTCTGAGCCTCAGTCATCTCTCCTTGAACTCACACTGCCACTACCTTCAGGACCGCATTTTTCTTCCTATTGCACCTATTCAAATCCAAAGCCCCAGACCCTACATTTTTGAAGAACTTTGGAGAGGGAGGTCTGGGGTTTAATGAAGTCCCACACTCCTATTTCAATAATTCTCTAAATATCCTCTTTCCTCCTTTCTACCTTGGCACATAATTAAGACTCATAAAATCAATGGCAAGTCTTCAGCTAGATCTTCTGGCCTTCTACACTGCCACAGTCACTCCAACTACTCTTTCTAACTTGTTTTCATTCTAATCATGGCTGCTTCCCATCTCTTGAAACACACTAGTTTCCACTAAAATAATCTATCCTTGGTGACTACTTTTTACCCTCTTTAGGAAAGGTATTAAAATTTCCATACCTGCAACTATAAATGTCCATATACTGTGGAGTCTTATTACTTGAATAGTTAGATTCTCCAAAGTAGCAACAAACTCCTAATTAGCAAATACTGAATCATTGCTCCTAAGCAAAATACTGGTTAAATTCCTAGGAACCTATGGTCATATCATTTTCATCAACCAATCAATAGATAACCTTGTTTTATGTATGTTTCTATTTAAGATCATCATATGTAATGTATAATGTTGGTTCATTAACATTGAATTCATGACCAACAGCACTATAACTCCTACCTGAACAAAGCTTATGTAACATATATTTTCTCTTTATGGCACATATCAGTTTTATTCCACTTAGTACCACTAAATAGCACTTCACCACTACATCTTGAGGGCCATTTTGAACAGCCAATCACCTACAAAGGCACAAAAATGCAAAACATGTGGCACTAAAAATACCATTGAAAGTAGAAACAAGAGACCTAGTGTCACCTTGCTTAACCGCAACTGACAACATGCACATGGGGGTGACTCAGTTTTCATTGCTCTGTTTGAGTACTGATTTGGAGGTTACAGACAAATTTTAGCAAGTAGGCAAATTTACAAATACAGACCTGCAAATAAGGATCAACTGTGTATATACACACACACATATATATATAATATCTTAGGGTAAAAATCATAAAAATTCATGTACTCAAGTCATGTACTCAGTTTAAGAAACAAAACATTAACAGTCTCCTTGAGGACCCCTTTGTGCCCTTTCAAGAGCACAACCCACTCTTCCCTTCAAAATAAACTACTCTGAAGTTGAAAATTTTCTTGGCCAGGCTCGGCGACTCAGCCTGTAATCCCGCGCTTTGGGAGACCGAGGTGAGTGAATTGCCTGAGCCTGAGGGTTTGAGACCCGCCTGGGTAACTTGATGAAACCTCATCTCTACAATAAATCAAAAAATCAGCTGGGCGTGGTAGTGCATGCCTGTAATTCCAGTTACTCGGAAGGCTGAGGTGGAAGGATCACCGGAGCACACCAGATTGAGGCTGCAGTGGCCAGGAGCGGCCACTGCACTCCAGACTGGGCAACAGAGTGAGACTCCGACTCAAAAAAGAAAAAAAGAAAATTTTCTTGCTTTCCTCGATACTTATATAAGGTGAACGTGTATATCTAAACAATAATGTTTGATTTTGTATTGTTTTGAATTTGTTTTCTTTTTAGACTTTTTTATTTTTTATTGTGGTCAAAAAACATAGCACATGAAACTTACCATTTAGCCATTTCTAAGGATACAGTTCAATAGTATTAAGTATATTCACATTCTTGTGTAAATGTTATTACTTTTCACAGTGAGAAGTAAAGACAGTTTTTCCTCTTAAAATTACCACACTTGGGGCACACTTCATCAACAGGGGTACCTGATCTCAAACCAGGTGAAGTGGGGCCCAAAATAAGGCCCAAACTTTACTTATACAATGACCATTTGTATACTTAACCCTGAATTGTGCCTATCCTTAAAATTAAAAAGAAAAAAGAAAAGAAATGGAAAAAAAAAATACCAGACTCCCTGGTCTTGAAATTAAACATGCACACACGCACATACATACACGCATGCATACACACACACACACACACACACACACACACACACCATACTCAGTGCTTTGAAGAGACAGTGTGACAGCCACAGGTGTTTGCCCGGATGCAGGGACCTCTGTGCAGCGTGCCCCTCATTCCCTGAGTAGCTAATGTAAAGAAATACTACAGGTGGGCCCTCGCCTTCCTGTTCACTCTGAGACACTGGCCTGCATCTGAGACTGTGACAGGCACTATAATCTTTCTTTTATTTATTTATTTATTTATTTATTTATTTTACTTCAATTTAAAGATGTGGGGTACAATTCAGGGTTAGGTATACAAACATTGATTATACAGATACCCTTGTTGATGAGGTGTGCCCCTCCATCCCCTAGCGGTTTCCCTCAACTGCCAATCCCATGCCCCCTTCCCTGGCAGTTTCTCACTACTGCCAATCCCTTTCTTATAGTAGTACGATCATTGTTCAAGGTCTACTTATGAGTGAAAACATATGATACTCTGTTCTTTGTTTCTGTGATAGCTCACTGAGTATGATTGACTCTAAATCCATCAAAGTTGCTGCGAAGTCCATGTGTTTGACCTTCTTTATGGCTGCATAATATTCCATTGTATATATGTGCCACATATTTCTTTATCCAGTCCAGCTTCAATAGGTCGTATGGTTGGTTCCATGTTTTTGCTATTGTGACTAGAACTGCAACAAACATATGTGTGCAGGTATCGTTTTTGTAGAATGATTTGAGTTCCTCCGGATATACTCCCAATAAGGGAATTGCTTGGTCATATGGAAGGTCAATTTCTAGTCCTTTCAGAAATCACCACACTGTCTTCCAAAGAGGTTGCACTAGTTTGCATTCCCACCAGCAGTGTAGAAGCGTTCCTTTTTCTCCGCTTTTCTCCGCATCCTTGCCAGCATCTGTTGTTGTTTGTTTTGTTAATGATGGCCATTCTTACTGAGGTTAGGTTGTATCTCAATGTGGTTTTGATTTGCATTTCTCTGATGTGCTTTGAATTTTATTTGTTTTTTGTTTTGGTTTTGGTTTTGAGTTGGAGTCTCACTGTGTTGCCCTGGCTGGAGTGCAGTGGCATGCTCACAGCCGCCACAGCCTCGACCTACTGGGCTCAGGTGATCCATCTCCCTCAGCCTTCCAAGTAGCTGGAACTACAGGCACGCACCACCACACCTGGCTAATTTTTTAATTTATTGTAGAGATGAGGTCTTGCCAAGTTGCCCGGGCTAGTCTCAAACCTGTGGGCTCAATCTATCCTCTCACCTCGGCCTTCCAAAGTGCTGGGATTATAGGCGTGAGCCACAGCGCTCAGCCTTGTTTTGAGTTTTAAGTGAAATCATTCTGTTTGTGTTCTTCAGTTTATTTTTTTCTTCAATATGTTTGTGAGAGTTTTTCATGTTGCTTTGTACAGATGTATAGTTAATTGTCTTCACTGATGATTATATCCCATTGTATAGGTAGACATAGACACTCCATTAAACATTTGAGGTTCTTCCAGTTTTTTACTATTA